GATTGATTCAACCAGTATGTATTTTAAAAAACGGATAATCAGAATTCTTGTAAGAATTACCGAATGAGGACGATTAATATATTCGTATTGATTGTACCACAGTTTTTTGATAGTCAAATAAATTTTTCCATTTAAATAAATCAAAATTTCTTGATGATTGAATAATTGCCGATCTCGTCAATCGAATTATATGTATATGTCGTCATGCCATTAAATCTAACAAAATTTCATATTGATCGTATAAGTACAGAGTGATCAATAGGATAAAGTTGAAACTAAACGATGATTACTTTGCCACAAGTGGGCCGAATTAAATGTATCAGACGCCATGTTGTAGAGAAAACTTGTAAATTTATTAACATATGTGTGTGTATATATATAAAAGATATTTAATTACTCAACAATTGAAAAAAAAATGGCAAAATATATGCTATTGCGTACGCCCTACAATGTAATTCATACTTCCTCCTAACACACAATTAGAAAAAATTCTATTGATGTCCATGTTCACATAACCATAAAGATTCTTAATTTAATTGAATTTGTCAATTATTTCGAAATATATATGAAATAACAATAAATTTAAAATACAAAAGGCTCTCCAAATAAATTAAACGATTAGATACGTTGATGTAAAGGAATTGCCAAATGTGAGCCGATACCAGTTTTGAATCATTTATTTTAGTGGAATTTTTTGAACATGGACTGTTTGTATATTCAATAAAATATAACAGACGACTATTTGAAGATTCAAACAGCGACAATAGTGTATTGTCAAAACGATGTTTTGACAATCGAGCGTTTTTACTTTAATTTGACATCATGAAATTATCTTAAACACATATATTCTACACTGAAGAGGACCCAATACCAGAGTTGAAACGTTTGTAACACATTTTTTTAATATACATTTTGAATTACACACAAACAACTGGTGTCGGCTCACATTTGACAATTCCTTTACATTAACGTATCTAATCGTTTAATATATGAAGTAGTAATTACATTATGTACTTTTTTTAATTCAATGTATTGTCCTGCCTATCCTTTATATCATGAACTCACATTTATGTATCTTAATTGTTACTTTCATTAAAGAGAACACACAAAACATACCTGATGCATCTCGTAATACAAAAATTTTAATTTTTTATTTACAGTTTACTTGTCATATTTTCAAGTAAATGCCGAAGTGTCATTTAACTTAATAAATCGATCTAAAGAAAATATTACTATAATTACGTATAGAGAGAGAGAGGAGCTGTAGTAATATATATTACAATAATACAAAGTCATATAAAATAGATTTGTATAATAGAGATGCACAACAAATAGTATATTTGACACATAACCGACTACTGTATACCGGAAAAATTATGTTTCCATAAATATAATACAACAGGCTCACAACACTCCTAACTACGCAAACGCATCGGGTGTATGTGTAACAATCCATTTTGCAGAAGATGACATGTTTTTTAAATGAACATAATAACGTGTTTTTTAACACGTCTTTTTAATGCTTCACACATCTTTTATACAGTATTATAATAAAGCAACATTGTCATGTTATAAATAAGTTTAAAACTCGTTAAAGCATCGATCAAGCGTGCTTCAAACGGTTTAAACCATGATTTTACCAACCCTGTCGTTTCGCATGTTTACACTTATAGTATTCTGGATAGCTTAGATCGCACGACATGATAAAAATTCGTTTTTAACAAAGTTATTACTTTCATAAATGTTTAAAGACCGCGGCATACATCTGCGATTTCGATAAATGAAAGGTATCGTCTACGTTTTATACTTACTTTGATCCTTTACTTTAATTTTTTTTCATTTTTAATATTTTCATGATTAAAGGTGTTTGGTTGAATAGTAAAAATATTATCGATAAAGAAAAACACCGAATAACAACCCATCATTTGTTGCAAATCTAGCATAAAATTAAAAAATGTTTTCTGTAGAACTACAAAAGTTTACCATAGCATATACTCAGCTAATTTATGAATTGTCAAAACGTAATAATAAATGATTAATACACGAAATATAACAGAAGAAAAATTATTTACATTATGATTATGTAAGGAGGTCAAAGTCAATTTCGTAATGTTCAGAAAAGAAAAAATTTTGAATTCTTTCTGTTACATTTCTATTGGTAGAGCTATTCAAAATACGTTCCATTGATCTTGAAGTGTTCCATTCGGATTTGTATTCATAAATAATGTGATTTTTAAAAATGGAGAAGTAACAGAGTTATTAAGACTTATTAAGTTATTAATACTTATTAAGTATTATTAATGTATGTATTGAAAAAGGTGATTCAATTTATATACTTTATATGATTATGTATTACGAATAAATGAAATAATTCAAATAATTACTCGTTAAAAATCTGCTTCTTTTGTGTTTTCGTACAAATTATTAGACGAGACTGTTAAATCTTCTTGAGGTTCTTATGTTGTCGTGGCCCTGTTCGTATTGTGTTCATCCGTATAACTTGCAAAGATTTCTCTATATATTTATAATATATATGGTATGATTCTGCACATATTTCGATAAATGATTTGATAAACACATGTACATTTTATTTAAATATAATTTTATTGCTATAAATTTGCCATTCTGCAATATTTTAAATCATTTCTAAGCAAACTTTGTAAGTGTACTTACTTCATATGGCTTATTCGTAAGTGTTAATGTAAACATGCATAAGTATAAATGTATATGTTATTACGTATATTGCATTTTGCCCATGTCTTCTCTTGTGAAATAATTCCACGCATAACTTCATTTAGGATCTTGCATTTCTTTTTGTGTTAATTTGTCCCAATGGTATTCTCTCGAGTGCTGTTGTAAATTACGTATGTAGTTGTAACTAATTACTTGCTCACAACGATTGCATTTTGCTTGAATTGTTGTTAACTTTGTGTAATGTCTATTTATCCATCATCGAACTGGATGTCATCGGAATCCATTTGTCATCGCCTGTTACTTTGTCTGGTATTATATTACTTGTATTACGGATATCAGACAATATTCACGGAAGATAAAGAAACGATGTAAAGAAACGATTACGAAAACTACTTAGAAAAGGTCGTACATAATCATGGTCGTTGTCGAATTATATATAGATATTGATATATTATTTGGAACCGTCTAAGTGCCAAATTATGCAACTATGTACAACTAGAGCAGCGAAAAATATGACCTGTATAATTGAAAGATGTCTAGAAAAATAAAATGTACTCAGAAAAATTGCCTTACATATATAACCTTTGTAAATATTAGAATTAAAAATTACTTAAAATGGCGACATGTAATAAATTTTAATAGTGTTTGTATTATATATAAAATATAAATACCTTTATTTTTATATTTATTAATTAGTCTCTTATGACGTTTAAACAACAAACAGAGAAAATTACACAGAAACGTATATGTATATAATGTATAATTATAAGACATACGCTAAATATTCTAATTTCTCTTTTAAGTACAGTCGCGGACACTGAGGTTGCGATATTTTTTTTTCGATGGTTTGCATGTTCCGTGTTCCGCAACAATTTTCAGAGCGCGATCTACCATCTATTGATACGTGTAACGATCGGTTATAACAGCTGTCAAAATCATATAGAATCGAAGTATACAAGGTGATAAAAATGTATCTTGTGCGACGCGACAAACTGTTAAGATATTAATTGGGTACTACAAGATTAGGATAAATGAAAGTCAAATATACAATTTTGTTTAAATATTAACATTTCCAATGCGTTGGGTTTCACAACTCACGGTTAACTCTTAACCAAGATTCAACTTATTTCTTATCTCTTTCCAATTCCAGCGTTAGAAAGAGATGGGGAATAAGTTAAATCTCGATTAAGAGTTAACCATGAATTGTTGAAATTGGGTCTAAGTATATCTGCAGAATTTCGTATTGATCAAATAATACTTTCATATTAACTATGGTTGCATTCCGTTTCATGCATAATGCATTAATTATCATTGTTGTTCACTGAATGTAAACATGTATAAATAAAACATCATGCCCATCATGCGTAAAATAGAATGCACTCATCATCTATGTGTTATCAGGTACTTATAAATCAATATAAGATATACAAGGGCGCGTTCACACATTTATGGAAAGACAGAAAGCGAAAAAGCATCAGCCAATCAGAACTCGTGATGGTAATCTATAATTTCAACTTTTTGTACTACTTACTACCAGCACCAATTCTGACTGGCCACTGCTTTCTGCTTTCTGCTTCTCCGTCAACGTGTGTGAACGCGCATTAACATAGAGAAATTTGAATTAATCCATTGTAATAACTTTCAAAAATTCTATATGCTACTCTAAATTACATTGACGGATCAGAAAAGAAGATGTTATCTTGACATATATCATTTCAGGGGTAACTGCAGAAAAGGGGAGCAAACCTTGACACATGACCCTGACTGATCTGCAACAGGTTTTAGATGTCGGTTGTTATTCGTTAAAAAGTTATTAATAGAAAAGTTCGAAAAATGATGTCTCTTTTCGACTATATAAAATAGAAATTTTCTGCTTTAAAATATATCTTACGACTTTCCACGCGAAGCGAGTATCACCCCACGACTCCCTTTTTTTTTTTTTTGATGTCGCTGGGGGAAATGCATTTACGCATATCCGGTCATAACCAAGACCGGGTTATGTGGGACTCCTCCTATTTAGCGGAGACTACCCACTAAAACCCTCAGAGAGTGTCGTATCCTTGGCGTATGGTTAGGTCGGGATCTTCGCTGCTGCAGTACTACCGACCCGACCTACCGCCTTCGCGCGTGTTGACGCGCGCCTATCTCTATTTTACGGAGGGGGACACCGCCTCCCTCTGTAGTCAGTCCTGTTCGGTTCTTAGGACCGGTTGTTCAGTGAGGCCCTCATGTTTGACCTACTTGAGCCTCTTCCTTCTTGTGCTACCTCCCGTCCGCGCCGAGGCCCGTTTCTCTCGCAGGGATACCTTCCCGCGCTCTTTCGCTATTCTCCTTGCTTCTCATTACTGTGCTACAGAAAGTAAGGAATGCCTCTCTCGCCTGGTTCTGCAGAAGTTTCCTAACGATTGTAGGCATCGTTATGTCCTGCCCTATTTCTCTTCTGAGTGCCGCCCTCTGTTCTTCCCACGCTGGGAAATACCGCAGGGTATGCCTTGCCGTATCCTTCTCGGCATCACAGTGCCAGCACCTCTCTGTGCACTCGCTCCCGATGCGGCGCAGATACTGGCCGAAACAGCCGTGTCCGGTCAACATCTGCGTTGCGTGGAAGGACAGGCCAATTCTGCCCACCATCCATTCTTTTACGTGCGAGCGGATTGCACGTAGCAGTTCCCCGCCGCCGTGTCCCGGGCCCTCTAGCCATGTCTTCCAGTTCCGGATCATGGTTTCTCGCGATCTGGATCTTATTTGTCGTTCCATTTCTGGCGTGATCCCGTCCGGGCCGAAGTTCTCCTTGATCTCCGCGAAGGCCTCGTAATTTTCGGCGTGCATCGCCGCAAGGATCTCCAGCGGTGGAGTACCAGCAAGCGCTGTCGTCACTGCGTACGCCGTCGTTCGATGAGCCTTTATGATACGGCCCGACGTTTTCTTCTACATGCCGCGTAGCACCCTTTTGATCTTCTGGCTCCTGCCTGCTTCCGTTGCCCACACCGGAGCCCCGTATATAGCCACGGAATTCATGACCATCGCGAATAGTCGTCTGATCCTGTCGTTGGGTCCCGCGAGGTTAGGCAGGAGTCCACCAAGTTGAGCTGCCATTCTGTTCATCCTGGGGGCGAGGTGGATGAAGTGTGCCTCAAATGTGAGCCGGCTATCAATAATGAGGCCAAGATATTTCATCCTGCTGCCGACCCCCACGTCAACCCCAGCTACCCGGATTGTACCAGTCTCCGGTCTTCCGCGATGGTAAAATCCCACGACCTCTGTCTTATCGGGGGCGATTTGCAGTCCCAGCCCCTCGATTCTGTCTACTACTCCTTCCGCAGCCTCTTCAGCTAAAGTACGTGCCTCTTCTCAGGTACTTCCGGTCACCAGAATTATGGTGTCGTCAGCGTATCCGACTGTTATGCTGTCGGAGGGTACCTCCGCGTCTCGCAGTACGTCATAGCCGAGATCCCACAGAAGTGGACCCAGAATGGATCCCTGCTGTACTCCTCTGCCTACCGCTCTCTCCTCAGTGGTGCCGTCCGCGATGGTATACTGCAGCCTACGTTCTTGTAGATAGGAGCGTATGATCCTCCTTAGGTATGGGGGTACCCGGTGTCTCCGCAACGCCTTGCCAATCTGATCCCACGGTAATGAGTTAAATGCATTGCGTATGTCCAAGGAGATGCCGATCACCATTTCTCCGTTCCTCCACGAGTCCTCTATGTACTGCCGAACGCACAGGATCGCATCAGTTGTACTGCGGCCTCTGCGAAAGCCGAACTGCCTCTCGCATAATTTGGGGCCCCGCCGATCCAGGTGACACACTACGCGATCTGCAATTATTCGCTCAAGGAGCTTTGCCTCGTCATCTAAAAGGCAGATAGGCCTATATCCGGATGCGGAATCCACCGGCTTGCCAGGCTTGCGCAGCAGCACTAATTTGGCGCGTCGCCATATTGCTGGGAAGGTCCCGCGTCTCAGACACTCTGTGAAGAGCATGCGAATCCCTTCGCCCACGATCTGCACAGCCACCCCCCAGACCCTGGACGGGATGCCGCTCAGACCAGGGACCGCGTTTTTACGTAGCATGCGCTTACGAGCATGCGCCAGCTCTTCGGCCGATACCTGCAGATCAGGCGTCCAGGCCCCTGGGCCGTCAGACGGGAGCTGCGGTTCTTCCCAGGTCTCACTGTTCTCGGGATGCGGGAACAATGTATCCAGCACACACTCCAAAATCTGCCGTTCGAGCGATTCCGTATACGGCGGAGTCCATCGTCTGAGTTTATCTAAAACCACGCGATACGGTCTGCCCCAGGGGTCCTCGTTGAGCGTGTCCGTTAGGTCCTTCCACGATTTCCGTTTAGCCTTTGCCATAGCTACTTTAAAGGTTTCTCTGGCGTGTCTGAGCTCCTTGACTTTCTGTTGTAACTCGTCTTGGTCTATGACGTTCTTGCGGGTTCGTTTCAGGTCCCTCCTCGCTGCCATCGCTCTCTTTCGCAGACCTGCCAGCTCCTCCGACCACCATGGCATTGCCTTGCGCAGTAACGGTCTGGCTCGCGGGATCGCGACATTGCACGCCATGGTCAAAGTCGCCTGTAGTTTTTCAGCCTCAACTTCGAGGTTCGACTCCCCGTTGATCGTCGGCGGTACTAGAGTCCCCGCGATTAATGCCGCACTCAGAAGGTCATCATTTGTGGCCTTGATTCTCCACCGAGGTTGCTGTTGCCTTCTCTTGACCATCTGAGCCCTCGTTTCCGAGAGCGCTATTTCTATGTGCCGATGGTCCGACAGAGTCTCCCAGCTCGGCACTTTCCACTCCTTCACTCTCTCCACCACCACCGAGTTTCCAAACGTGACGTCCAATATGGATTCTCTCTGTGTCCTCACGCATGTGCTGGTGGTACCCCTATTGAGGCAGTGAAGACCTAGGGATGCGGTCCAATCTTCCAGGATTCTTCCTTTGACGTCTATGGTGGCAGACCCCCACGATGCGGCGTGGGCATTGAAATCGCCCGCAATCATGAGTGGTCTCCCTTGCCATCTGTTCACGGACCTCTCGATTTCTTCGAGATGCCTCTCAAAGTCCGCTCTATCTACTCTAGGGGAGATGTAAGCCCCGATGATTATCATATCCCCACATCGGGCCACCGCATACGCGTGTCCCTCCTCAAGGGGCGTGAATGGCAGTGGATTAGCCGTTTGACGCCACACCATCGCAACGGTTCCGTTCCTGTTGCCATGCCACAGCGGATTGTTATCCGGGATCCGATACGGTTCCGCCACTATCGTCACTGCAAACCCATGCTCAGCCATAGTTTGGAGGAAAAGGTTTTGGGCACGGGCTGCGTGGTTGGCGTTAACCTGCAGCACCTTATTTAGTCTCCGTTGTCCGCGGTTCATCAGAGACAGACGTTTTTATTTCTGCCACAGTAGCTGGTTGCGGGGTCTCCTCCACTGACTCCACGTCCATCGCCTCCGTCGTTATGTCCGGTACGCACGGCCGTCTCGCCCGGCTCCTTGACGTCTTTTCGCTTACTGGTCGACTTCTCACCATTTCCGCACGACTCTTCGCTGTTCTTTCCCACCGGCCTTTCTTTGCGTCCTTTTGCACGCCCAGGACGGATGTTGCAAGCCTTGCCGCCCAGCCTATGGTTTGCAGCTAGGCCTCTGCTTTCGCATATCGGGCATCGCGCATTGTTGGTACATTGCCGAGCGATGTGCCCGCTATTCCCGCATCGATAGCAGCTATCGCTCCGATCGACGTTGCTTTTACACTCAGCTCTTATATGTCCCTTTTCGAGGCAGCGAAAGCACTGAGTGCCTCTCTCAGGGAGCATCTCGACCCTGCTCATTGTCCACCCGATCCTTATCCTCGGTACTTTGCAGACAGCGAGGTGCCACTCGCAGTGGACACTTGATCCATACAGAGCCTAGTCCGTTGGGTGCCTCCGTAATGTCCCCGACTTTGATGTCGTTGCAATCGCCTCTACCCGTGTCTCCTATGCATTGGCGGATCTCTTCTCTTGTTATCGACGCCTCTAGATCTTTGAGGCGTATCTCCGGCATCTTCTCGGGTCTCGATATCACGACGTTGGTGTCGTCCGCAGTGACCTGAGACAGTCTCTCTGCCAGGAGGTTTGCCTTGCCTGCACCATCAGGACCTCCTGGGATTTTCAGGAGCAAGGCGCTCGATCTCGCCTTGCATGGTTTCACGCTGGTGATCCCAAGTTCCTCGATATTTATTTTTTCTTTGGCCAGGCGCATGATCTCGGAGTACTTGGTCTCTCCTCTGCAGCTGATCTGCACCGCCACGGTTTTCGGTGGCCTCTTCGGACTAGCCTTCGTTGGTGCTCTTGGTACTGCTGAATTCCGGAGATTGTATCTCTCCTTCCTTGTCTCTTTTCTGCCAACTACCTTCGCCCACTCCGTCCGCGAGGGCGGCATGGGTGTTTCCTTGAGCGTGGCATAAGTAATGGTGTCGGTACCCTCCTCCAATCCCTTCCCTGCTCCTGCCTTTTTTCCCCTGTAGCGAACCTCGTGGGAGATGGGGGCCTTAGTCCCCGCTCCCAAGGAGGGGGCTATTTGTTCCTTCCTGTGGCGAACCTCGTGGGAGACGGGGGCTTCTGTCCCCGTTCCCAAGAAGGGGGCTACTGTACCTTCCTGATATAGGAGGTGACCCTTTTTGCTCCCGGGTGGAGGGTTCCCATCGCTCGTCTCACCTCTTCTGCCACCACTTCCCTTATCGTGTTCACCAGCTCTCCTGATGTCGCGGGAAGCACCGGTCTTACTACCCGTTTTTTGTTATCGTGCTCTTTACCGCCTCCAATCACCGATATTATTTTGCCATCGGCATCCACTACCTTAATATTCAGATCGACTGGGCGGTCCTCGATAATCATACTCTTGCCTCCCAGCGGGGGTCGTATCACTGGAGGCCACTCTTCCCTCGGTGGCAGAACGATTTTCTCCTCCATCTCCTCGATCTCCATCGCATTGTCCGAGGGGGGAGGCAGTTCTTTCTTTTTCTTGGGTCTGAGCTGCCTCTTTTCTTCTGCCTTATCAGGCTCCTTCCTTTCAGGTGTCGCAACACGATTGTTGTCGAGCCTCCTCCTCAATGCTGTGAGCTCCTGGAGATATCGCTCCGCCCTCTCATTCGCTTCCCTAGATCTACGCCTTTCCTCTTCCAAATCGTTTTCCATTCTTGTCTTGATGTTGGCTATCTCCCTTCTTAATGCGCTAATCTCCTCGGGAGTTCGCATCTTTTCTGGCCCCTTCCGCTCTTTCCCAGCCGCAGCTGCTGCTTTCAAGCTTTTCTGAAAAGTCCCTTTCAGATTCGCCGAGGTTCTAGCTATACGGATAACCTCCATTTGGCAGTCCGTCACCTGCTTAGCCAGATCATCACTAGTTTTGTGTTCTGCAGCGTCTCTCCACTTCTCAAGATCTATTTTGGATGTCCTCAACAGGTCGTCAGGATCCAATTTTCGGAGGGTCTCCTCCCTCGTCAGCTGGAGCCCTCTCTCCTTCTCCTCGTTGACCTGACGGATCGCGTCTCGACGTCCCACGTATAGATCGGTGGTTTGGTAAGATCTTGTCTTTTCTTCCCCGGTCTTCTCCGCGGCACTTACCTTGGCCGGTGGTTCATCCGGATCCTTCTTATTCTCGCCGTTCTCGTCGTCCGATGAGATACACTGGACGTCCTGTCTTTTTCTTCTCTTCACTTTCCGCGGTTTTGCGTTGTTTGTCGTTCTCGACGAGACCGAGGAAGTACCCGTCACATCTCCCTCGTCCGCGAGTCCTTCCGCCAATGGTCGCGCTCTTATTCGGCTTGAGATATCCATGGATCCCCTAGATGATATGGATTCTCCTCCTGAATCTCCTTTATCGGATTCCGACCTCTGGTCTTCCTTCTTAACCTGTCTCGTCTTTGACTTGGGTCCTGGTTTACGTTTGCCAGAAGTCTCCGACTTAACAGGCTTCTGTTTTGTACCAGTTGGTATACCCGGTGCAAGAATTGGCGGATCGTCTCCATCTTCGCCTCCACCTTTTAGACGTATTGTTGTCTCTTCCTTGTTCTCGTCTAGATAAAGCCGCGTGCGCTCTAATGGCGGTATCATGCCCAG